GGGGCGGGGAGAGAGCCGTGGGGGGCTGCGCGCGGATTGGCACTGGTGCGGCCGGGACCAGGCTCAGGACTACCCGGCGCCGAGCTGGGGCTGCTTGCCTGAACTAGGGAGAGCCTTCGCGTGCCCGGTGCGCGCGCCCGCGGGGACAGCGCCACCGCTCTGCGTGCCTCCGCCCAACCCGGAGGGACTCACCGATAGAGTGAAGGAGGCTTCCATCCCGGGAACTCCCCCTGAGCACACACTTGTCTGACTTGAGTTTCCTGCCTTTCCCGGGTGCACCTGCCTTTGCTTTGTGGATGCTATTGAGGCCAGACATCGCTTCAAGGCAATGCTCAAGCGAACCTCCTGCCCTTCCAGCGAATCGCCGTAACAGTCTCAGACCCGGTTTCTTTGAATTTAAAAGCCTTGTAGTCCATACATTTTACAGTTTACATAAGCCCTTGGACTTGCTGAGCTCTTCTGATTCTCTGAGCATCCTTATGGGTGGGTGTATCCTAACACAGATCACTATCCCCGTTTTAAAGATGCAGAAATTGAGATTCAGATGAAAAGTGATTTGCCCAGGGTCACTGTTAGTTGGTGACAGTCTGGGTTGGTTCAGTACGTCCTGCTGTCTCAGAAATGGAGAACGAAAGTCCTGCACCCTTTCTTTCCCGTCCACTCCAGAGCCCAGCTGGGTGTTCAGATATGTGGCCAAGCTCCTGCCAGGGGGGGCCCTCTGCTTTGGGAACTTGGCAGGCTGTAGGCCCAGAGCGGATTGACATGGCTGAAGTTGACTACTCAGAACCCTCAGCACCCTTCCGGCTCTCTTCACAGTCACACATTTGAACACTTGCTAAGGAAGTCGAGTCTCTGTGAATCAGTTTTGGCTCTCTGACCCCCATGCCCTCACAGCTCCAAGAAGAAAAAGGTTAAAAGATGCTTGTCCGGCTTGAATTTAAGGTCAGAGAAGAGAGACAATTGAAATGGCCCCATCTACCCACCCCCGGCCCCCCAACTTGGGGAAGCTTCTACTAGCCACACCCCATCCAACAATTCTTCTTT